GTTACTGTCCTTTGTTATAAGGATAGTTAAGAAAGAACAAAATCACATACAGCATAATTGGATTACTTTCAATTTATGGATGTTTCAGCATCGGCACAATTGTGCGGCGCGTCTAGAGGTAACCAATCCGACTTAAGTGGTGTCGGAATTGTACTCCTGGTTCCAATAAACCTTGTAAATGTTTTTAGATTACTATAATTTCGAAACATATACTGTAGTTTGATGTTTATTGGTACGCTGATTGGGTCATTAACTGTACTGAATGTAAATAAGTTTAGTACAAGACTTCACCCTTTACGAGATGTTCTTCAAAGATTTTTTAAAATATCTTTTATTATGAAACGCGATGCTGTTCAATTGAGCTATTAGTACAATATTCCAATAAAAAAATGTATGTTTGCACGAAATAATATGTAACTGATAGTTGCTGTCAACAAAGTAAAAAATAATCGACCTTTTTACAAGATTTTAACGATATTAAAAACAAAGTTTGGTTGAAAAGCAATCTCTTTTAATTTTAACGCAGTTGCGAAAGAAATTATTGGAATGTCTGAGCGCTGAATAGAATGTAGCTGAAATAATTGCGTCTCTCCCAACCATTTAATGCGTTGGTCGTTTATCATGGGGCAGTTAAATGTTCTGTCCACCCACGACAAGATTTCCAAGAAACGAGTGAATCCATGCATGACGATACTTTGGGTGGAAATATATTGAATTACAAAGATAAACAATACAGCAAAATCATGCAAAGCACACCAAACGAACCAACTCTAGTTTAAATATAATGAATGATACAGTCATTGAAATGTTAACAACGTAATTGATGTGGATTAAGGACGGATCACTAAGAAATATTTAAAGACTGGCTGATATGTAGAGCAGTACATAACGTTATAAAATTATATTTGTTATTTTGGTTTATTATTTTCAATAATGAAACATTGTGATCGACCAAAAAATTCAAAAACATAACCCCCTCTCAAAATTTGAGGTTTTACGTTTCAAGATGCGTAGAATTCGAAAAATGAATAAAATTTTTTTTATCCGTCCGCCGTCCGCCTCCGCGCATTTTCTTCGAAACTACTGGACCGATTTTTTTGAAATTTTGATATAAAATCAGAGGTCACCCGAGGATGATCCTCCTTCATCGACATTACTCTCCGCCTTTAACTTTCAAAATGGCGGCCGAAAAACCTGCGTTGCTATAGACTGTAGCTCCTAAACGAATTCACAGATTTCAATGAAACTTCACTATCGTCATTTTCTCGACGCCCTTTAAATTTATCTATATAACATACTTCAACGAAAAGAAGCTGGAAAAAAAGTTATGAGGGATGGTAAAATTAAATTCCGAACAACTCGAAAAGTTTTTACTTTTTTGTTGATATAGTTTTTTAAAAGTTTATAAAATTTCCTAAAAAAACAAAAAAAAAATCGTTAAAATCGGACAATTAGGAGCAAAGATATTGTCTGTTTTTTTTTTATATGTTCTACTCCAAATGTTATATCCTTGGTTTGGTTTTTAAATTTTAAATGTGTTACTGAAATAATGCTATTTTTTTTTAGCATATTACTAAGGATTAAAGAAAAACAGTTTAGTCCAATAATTGGAATCACCTTTTGTTTTGTTTTTCTTTGTAACTCGGAAGGTAATGCTACTTTAGATGTATAATTGTTTGGAGATAATAAACCATTGTGAAATCATTTGCAGCGTTTTTTAACATGAAAAATAATAACTATAGGTGGCGTCAAACTAAATAGAAATTCAAACCAAAATCAATCCAAAGAGAAACTTAAAAACACTCCAGTGCGCATTACATAACGTTTATTCATCACCCAATTTAAATAATTGCACATCTACTCAAATATAACTATTGTGAGGTGTTTAGTGGAAGGAGATCAATCCACATTACAAATGTTTTGAGTAACCATAAATCAAACTTAAATAATCTATCAAATAAGTGTATTAACTATAGACAATGCATCACTTTTTCTAAACACTTATTACTTACTTGGAATCCTCATGCAAGAATAAAACGACAAGAAACTCCTAGATGTTTCCAGCTACTTCAACACAGCTACTAGACAAACACTCTAAACTTCCAATAAACTATAAACGATTCATTTACTTGACTAAAATAAGCTCTATTTGTATATAAGGAGTTGAGCTTTGGGATGACACTAAACCATCAAATTCTTCTCGAATCCAATCCTCACCATCTAAAATCCTCAATGCTCCCTACTTTGTCACACATAAAATTAGCCATTATGACCTTAATGTTCCATATGTTTCTGACCTAGGCCAACCCTAACCTTCCAAAATAAACTCTAGCCCATCCAAACCTACATATTTCTAACCTTGCATCACCTTCGATTTTTGACAATCCTCGTAGGTGTCTAAAAAGAAGATGGTATCGGAACCTTCTAATATAGAATTATGATCGGAGTACAACTTATGATTAGTTTTTCAGAAGTCGTACATGTTATATTATAATTAAAATTTACTTGTATTTTTAGCTAATAAAGTTGTAAATATCAATAAGTAAAGAATCAAAAATAGTTTTAAGATTTATTAGTATTGTTGATCCATATTATCAAGGAAAAGTTAAATAAGTTCGTTCTAAGAAGTATAAATATAATGTGCAGAGAAATATATTTTTCAGGTATCATATGATAATGGTCTACAGTCGGATTCATGTGGGTGCTGCAAGATGAGGCAGTCACGAATGGATGGTTCCCAGGCCAAATCGACCTATGTGAATATCGATTCCTAAACTTAATGGAACCCTACAGAAAAGGTAAGACAAACCGTGCTTCTTCCTCGGAGAAAGTATAGATATATCCTGGTATATTCTTCTTTTTTTTTACTTAAAAGACTTTTATTTATTTTTTTCAAAATTAATTATCATCCATCATTTTAGAACCTAAGTGACGGCGACTAATGGATAAGTTAAGCTTTCAGGATTGGTTATTCGATTTTAGGTTATCCAAAAGAACAACCCCATATTATGTGACATTATTTATCTACTTTTCAGTATGTAATGTTATAGTATTTAATTATTTCAAAAAAGGTTATTTTATGTATGTAGTTGAGTTGAGGAGTTCGGTATAAAAGTGGACCCACTAAATGTTTGTGAAAAGTGAGTTTGAAGTCTCAAAGCATGTCACGTCATAATCCTAATGTTAATACTTATAAGTCGTTTATTTCCAAAGCGAATCTTATCCTTCATCAAAACATTTTTAGGAAACGCGAACATTTTCTATTCCTATTATTATTTCAAAACTAATATTTTTTAAAAAACATATTAAGAAGTTCTTTATTTCTAGAACATATCTGTAAAAATCACTGATTATTTCAATAATAATAAAAAAATATTGAAACTTGAATAGGGACGCTTTTAGAAATAACTAAACTTGAAGGCAGATTTTTGAACAAAAGAAGTTTGATTGTGATACTGTTTGGAAAAAAAATTAGTATACGAGTATGATTGGGGAGAAGGGAGAAGTTATAAAAATTTTACTATAAAAAATTAACTTTTTGTTTACAATAATGGCACAATATAATTAATTTATTTTTAATTTGTATTAGAAATAGCTTTTGATAAATTATTTTTTTAATACTTAAAAAATGCACGTTGCATTGAGTGTTTTTGCATGAGACTTGAAAATTAAATCGATTCCAAAAATGTTGATTTTGAAAATGAGCCATTGTTATTTAAATCTGTCCCTCACTTGTGGCAGAAATACTATATCCACTTAAAACAGTGCTATAGCAGTATGGCAGTATGGAAAAACCTTTTTAATTTTTTTTTAATTCAAAGTTTTGGATTTTGGTCAACTCTAATCAGTTCTTCTAGAACTTCAACCGAATGAGTTTTCTATTAATGAAAATAATAAGCGTTTCTATAATTGTAAATAGACGCCGGCACCTAAGAAATATTGGGCGGGACGATGTTTATTGTATCCTGATGGCAGTATGCAATTCATTGGAGGAGAAATGGGGATAGAACACCATACAAAAAGGAGTAGAGTAGCGGGAAGTTTATTAGGATTAGTATAATTTGAGGAGCTGCGGGAACTGTTTGGGGAACCCGACATCGTGCATTGATAAAAAGATGGATAAGACATGTGGAGTAGAGGGCGTCCCCGGATTAGATGGCTAGAGGATGTGGAGGACGATCTGAGGAGACTGGATATTCGAAAATGATATGAGATAATACAAGGTCGTGAGGATTGGTTGGCTATAATGGAGGAGGCTCGGGTTCTTGTAGGACCGTACTACCATAATAATAGTAACATATTTACTACCAATACTGTTTATTGAACTTTTTCCAAGTTATTTTTAAATGACTGCAAACTATTGGATGGAATAGCATCCTTCATAAAATATTGATGTAGAATCATTATCATTCCTCATGATGTTTTTTTAATTAATTTACTTAAAATTGATAGTTAAACGACTTAAACTTTAAGGGAGGCATTGCCTACTTAGATTAGTTACCAAAAGGTGAATAAAGTAGTCAAATTAAAAAGAATTTCTTAATAATTATGTCTAGATTAACAATGAAAATAATGAATGATTAATTTATAAAGTCAAAATTTTGTTTGTGGAAGTTAAATAATTGCAATTACGATGAATAAGGTGTTTCGGCAAATAAGCTCACAATGTCCACTTTTCAACTAGATCCACTCCTCTAGAATTAAAAAATCATAAGGATCATTTCTTATGGACCTTCATAAATAAAAATCTGAGGTGCGTATTTAATGATAATTCTTAGGGAAACGTTATTTGTAAATATCCTCAGAAATGTTCGTGGAGACGATCCCAACAGTTTTGTAGATTCTATATTTTAGGTTTCTGGAAAGAAAGCAGGAAATAACAAATTTCGCTACAGCGATGTATCCATCATACATGATATGTTTTGTGTAGATATGTTTAAGCATGAATACCTATATATACATACATTTCAATGAGCATGTTAATGATGGCGTGTACTTACTGTTCCTGTTGATGCAAAGAAGCTGCGGGGATATCCTATAGAGCCTGAGGAGGGAGAGGACATGCGCCGGGAGTGGAGGTGGCACCTCCTCGTAGGTCTGGTCGGCGAGCAGCATCCGGCAACATCTGAGATGTCTCGGTCAACTCCCTCTGCAACGTCAACGGGGAGGTTAGGTTCAAGGGAACAAAGTTATTTTGGAATTACATCACATGTTATATATATATATTTTTTAAGACATTAAATGAAATCAACAAACAGTAAGAAGTAAGTTGGTTAGGAGTCAATGAAGTAAACAGAAATGATATCACATAGCTGACATTTTCCATATGAGATGATACTTATTAACGAATCCAAACAATCTTTATGAACCATTCTGAGCAAGGGTGCCCATCCCCCTCCTAAGGTCGATGGCGCATGAACCTTCCCTAACCTCTCCAATGATATTTCATTGCTCTCCTCTTCTTAAAAACAGTGCAAACAAAACTAAAATTTAAAAAATAATAGGATATATACAATTACACATCCTGCAGACAATTGAATGTTTCCATTTGTCTTTTAATTTGAAACTTTTCATTTAAAAAATCCATAACTCCGTCGAATTTTGTCCCCTGAAAAATTCAAAACCCCGTCAAAATGTGCCTCACTTAAAAATTTTGATGGCGCAACTTGCATAAAAATGACAGTACTTTTACTAACTTTTACTAAATCCAATACATACGAAACGAGTTGTAATGTTGTAAATAAGAAAGGAAGAATACAAAAAATTCGGTCATCAATTTTGATTTCGTTAAAACCATTTATTTAGCTGACCATAGAACCAGAACTTTGATAAATTATTTTTTGATTAAATTAAACTGGCTAAAACATTAAACCACTCAACCACAGTTACTGCTAGTATTTTTTTTTGCAAATATTGAATCACCGTAATCTATGTATGAAGAGGTATCTACCGCTGTGCGAGTGCACTTTATTTATTAATTATATTTATGGATTTCCTCCATAGTCCACAGATGTCTCAAATTGTTATCTTATGCTTCTGCTTTCTCTTCCTAGAAAAGATATTTATTGGAGAAGTTAGCTAATTACAATAGCGTAGCCAGCTCAAAACTAACAGGAAGAGAGGAAATATTTAAGAAGATGAAGAATTATTTTATTCTTATTTATTGTATAATTTATTTTATTTATTGTACATAGAGTGATAATGTGATCTCTGAACACTATTATAAATGTTCTTTGAGATAGATTGTAATATTTTTCAATAAACAAGTTACCGTTGCCAAAAAAAAAATAAAATAAAATAAAAAAAGAATGTAGTTAAGAAGAAGCCTTCGGAACTACATACGCCACTGATATTCACTTTTTACGTATTGAATTGAATTTCATTACTGGTGAAATTATTATTATACATAGTAGTCAATAAGGTTTTGCAACTTCTTAAATAAAATAAAAACATTATATTTATTGAGACGTTTAAATTATTTAATAATATTTTTGAGGAAACCATAGCTGGGACTAATTCTCTTCCCATAATGGATAGAAAGTCCCTACTTACTCAAAGGAAACCCGTCTAAATACGTTCCACCTCAGAGAGGCAAACAATGGAAAATTAATGTACTTAATTAACTAACCTTTGGTGTACTTCATTAATACAAACTCTCAACTCAAACAATGAGAAAGGCAATTGCATTGTCATAGAGAGTTCGTGGTAACTTGGGGTCTCGCAATGGACAAAACCACGGCTTTACGTAACCTATTATGTTCAATATTTTTTCATACAGAAATGATAAGACTAACAATAACACAGTTCTTAGCGTTATCATTCGCGCGGAACAAGAAAGTAACAATACGAAAAATGAAATTTTACAGGGTTTGAAGTTTGCATATACAGGTTTATCGTAGATTTTTTCAATGATGGCTCACTTTTAATTTTAAATTGTGTTAGGTCATAACAACTAAAAATGTGTCTCTCAAAAATGTTGATGATCACAATGCAATCCCTTTGTAGACATTCCTAAAAATATTAATATAGTCTATTGATCCAATTCGTAGTCAAGTTCAACTAACTGAAGAATCGAGACCAATAGGAGAGAGTCCGCTAGGATGATTTCATGGTCTTTCGCCACATATAGGTGTTCTATTTTTTTTTTTTTTCCTTTTTCAGCGCATGAGTATGCAGAAATAACTACCATGGCTTCGATTTGCTTTAAAAAATCGACACAACAACTACTTTCTAGGGGCGAATGAGTCTAAATAGATGTTTTGTATGATTTTAAAGTTAGATTATTATGACATTGGATAAAGGATACTAAAAGCAGGAAACATATAATTATGAAAATGAAAATGAAATGAAAAATGAAAATGAAAAAATAATTTTATTCTGGGACTACTGTCCCCTAAGAGAATAATAACAGAGTTACAAATTTATGTATCTTAGTCTGACATAGTAAAAATACCAACTAATTTATTGTTAATTGTAATTTCAATTGTGCAATGGATTGAAATTAAACATTGTATAGATGCAAGTAATTTTACATGTTAGGGGAAGTTTGAATGTGGAGTAGGTGTTGGAACAGGAATTTGTGGATGAGGATTGACGCATGGAGGTAGGAAGTGAGTTCCATAAGGAAGCAGCACGAATGACGAAGGATTTGCTGAAGGAGGAAGTTTTATAGAAGGGAATATATAAGTCTATAGGTTGAGACCTAGTATTGAGAGAGTGGATAGAGGAGCGCAGAGTAAGGAGTTCCAGGATGTAGGGAGGGTTTTTGGTTCTGAAGACTTGGAAAAGGAAAACGCCAAGAAGGAATTGTCGTCGGGAAGTAGGAAACAGCCACTTCAACTCGGTGTACCATAGTGAAACATGTGAACGCCTGGGGATCCCGAAAATGTATCTTTTGAAACAATTCATGAGTCTTTTTAGTGTCATTTCCAGCCTACCAGATAGCCCTCCATACACCAAGCAGCCGTAGTCGAAGTGCGGGAATACAAGGGAGGTTACAAGGAGCTGTCTTGTTTTTAGAGGAATACAATCACGGAATCTTAGGAGTTGTTTAAGGGCAGTTATGGATTTTCGGATAATCTGGGAGATATGATTATCCCAGGAGAGGTTCTGGTCAAAGGTTATTCCTAGGTTTTTGACTGTAGGGAAAAAATGGATGGGATGGTTATTGAGGTAAAGAAAGGAAGGGAGGTGATGAGATGTCTGGACCCGATGATAATAGCCTTGGTTTTATCTGCATTCAGCTTTAATTCATTTATTTCTGCCCATCTGTTGATGCAGTCGATGTCCTCTTGTAGCTTCCGGGCAGCCTCAGGCATCTCAGAAGGTTGGAATGATTGGTATATTTGGAAATCATCGGCATATAGGAGGTAATTGGAGTGTTGAATTACCTGTTGAATTACCTACATAATTATCTGTATGTTTTCAATTCAAATTTCTACCAATTTCTGAATGTAATAGGAATTTCTTCTGGAGGGATATTATTATGGATAAGTTTAATATTAGAATGTTTTTTGGACCCTATGGTTCCACTTTTGAGCTGTAATAAGAATATAACAAATGAGAAACTTTTAATTTGAAATATGAGCCATCCCTCTGATAATTTATTTAATATTGTATTAATATAATTGGCTGAATATTTCCAGGATTCAGATGAGGTAACAGGATAGCTATGTTGTCAGCGAACGTTTGCAAAAGGATACTTGGTGTAGCTTGAAGGTAGAGGATGTAGAAGACAAGATCATGGGTCCTGCCTCCGGAAGCGTAGTCGCCGTCGAATAAGGATCGAAATACTCGAAGCTGTATCGTACTAGGAAAAACCGGTTCGAGAAGTGTTAAGGAAGAATTACCAGAAGTAGTAACAAAGGAATAAGGTTTGAGTTAATCGGGTTTTGAATTTAATTCGGTAACGAGTGATAATTAGTTTAATCAGAGTGCAAGCAAAGGCAACGTATTTATAATAGCACGATGTTATCAAAATTATTGAAAAACAATGTATTTCCTGCATAATTACTAAAAAGACCTATAAGCGATTTGAAATAGAAGCAATACGGGACGGTGGAATTTATATCAAACCCACAGATATATAATACACATAAAATATTATTTTCATAAATTAAGACCATATTCTACCAACATTTTATATATTTCTACTTTATCTTGACAACGTTTCGGCCAATACTAGGGCCATTTTCAAGTCTTAATTGAGTCCTCCAACTAAATATCCATATTCGATGTCATTTTCTTTATTCTGAGAAAAATTAAACAGTCCTAATATTTTAGGGGTTTCCCTTCATCTATGGAGAAACTATGGAGGGTCATCTATAATTATTCTGAGAATAAAGAAAATCACATTGAATATGGATGTTTAGTAGGAGGACTCAATTAAGATTTGAAAATGGTCCTAGTGTTAATCCAAACGTTGTTAAGATAAAATAAAAAATAAATGAAATGTTGGTAGAATATGGCCTTACTTTAAAAATTAAAACCTCAAGAAATCTATGTATAATGAACAGAATAACAAATTACATTCGTAGCGAGCACCTGTAGAAAAAAACTTTGAAATTAAATTTAAAATACTGTATAAAACTAATTAAAATTGTAATTTTTAAAAAAATATTTTATAATTTGATGATGGCTAACATCAAATATTTTTGACTTTGCTACAACTTAAAAATAGTAGTTATTAGGATTTTACGTATCTATATTATTTAAAAAATATTAAGTAAGTACTTGATTTTAAAATCTATGAAATCATAATTTTTATAGCAAATATCATAGAAAATATTTTCTCAAACGATTTCGGGTCCACTTGGTTATAGTTATACTTAGTTTCCGTTAATAAGGAGATACCGTTGGATGAAGGCTCGTTGTTTGGTTAAGACCTATTAACTTTCCCCAGAGGAAAATGACTTAATCATTCCTAAAAATTATTTTTACCAAACTACATGCTTTTATTATTTTAAACTATGACCGTTATTATCACAATGAATAACAACAAAAATGTAAAATATTGAAATATTGCTAATAAGAAAAACCTGACGGTTAATATTAAATACCACCACAAAAGTGTTTTCTTATTTCTACAGATTCGAAATTAATTTAGTACGATCATACCACCTTCCAAGTATACATTTTCGGTTCTGAAGCGATAAACGTGGTG